ACGATTTTACGATCGTATATTCATAATCATGGTATACCGAAAAGCATTAGGACAGATCATGGATCTGGGTTCAACTCTGACGTCGTTAAAGAATTTTGCAAAAATATAGGCATAAAACACATCCTCACAGCGGTGAGGGATCATCGGAGTTGTGGGCTGGTGGAGAGGTCGATTCAGACCATTAAACGGAAGCTTGGAGCAGAAAAACTAGATCCTAGTTTTAAAAATCTGAAGTCGACTTTACAACAAATCATTGACGATATTCGGAAAACTAAGCATTCTACGTTGAAAGTATTTCCTTTTGAGCTACATTTTGGGAGGAAGCCCAACACTGAGTTTTCTTTAGCGCGTGATAATGTTGCTCATTCTCCTACTTCAGCGCAAGGACTGGAAAGAAACCTCCTTACTCCGGAGCAGCGATCAAGCCAGGATTACAGCCGAGATAGGGCTAAAGTTGTACCCAGAGGAGCGTCATACAGCCCTGAAATCGCCTATAAGTTCAAACTACTCTTTGGTGTGGGCGAGCGCAAAGCGGACAGTCAACCTTACAAGGCCTTGGAGAATCTTGCAAAGGCGGCTAACACCTGGAAGCAGTGGAAACGGAATCTGCCCCCACAACAAGGACAAGAACTCCTCCGCGAATTGGCGGCTCGTAATAGTGACCTCGCATACTCGCTGAAATCGGGGATCACCAAGGGAACTCTACGCTTTTACGACAACGTTCGCGATACTTCAGCACCAGCACTTTTGCATTCCCAGCGTATGAATGTGTCGTCCTCTTCGAGGCCCAAAAGGCTCTCAAAAACACGTAAATTAGAAAAATTAGTTTTACAAGATCCTCTAAGAATCAAAATCTTTCGGAAAGTTCTTGATCGCCAATCCGGAAAGCCTCTGTTCAAACTAGCAAAAATCAAGATTACTCATGCTACGGACCATACTTACATTACTGACAAAGGTAAAGTCTATCGGAAAAATCACTTAAGCCTATGACATAATTTTAACCACCTAAGTTTTCAGCTACGCCTGGCACAGTGGGAGATTGGCTACAGCGACGAATTGCTCCTCGGCCTCAATCTCAACCATCTACTTCTCCATCTACAAGGCACACGAATGAACCTTCGAAAGGCAAGGTGATTGATTTAACAGCAGAGTCATCCAGCGAGGACTCCTTAATCACCGAACCCCAGCTCAAGTTGGTGGAGGCACCTGCTACAGCGCCTCAAGGATAGGATCCCGTGATCGTTACGTCAAAAACTCCGGTCATCATACCTTTAACAAACCCAGCCCCGACATCTTTCACGGGAACTCAAGCGACGCCTCAGGATCAACCCGTCACATTTCAGCCACAGATTGCCGGCACCGTTCCTCAGACTACAGCTCAGCACCCGGTGGTTACTGGCCATACAGAGGTTGACGATCCCACCTCCCAATCTACTAGCGAGTCCAACATATCATCTAACCGGTCTAAGAAATCGACGAGGTTTTATGGAGATCCTCTTCGTCATTCAGTTAAGAGTGTAGCCGAATCCGACCCCGTGGAGTCTTCGTCACAGCAACCAATCATCGAACAGCCGATTACTACGCCAATCACCCCAATTGTTCGAAAAGGATCGCAAGTGCCTTTTCCCAGAACCAAAGAGCAAACCACTCCGTTTAAGAAAATCAGGATCGATGACCATGATAAAATTTCTTAAACTTTAAAACTCCGAAAACTCCGCTATATTTTGCATTATGGTTGGGCTATAGTTAACCTACTAACATGTGCTTGATGTCTTCCGCATTATTCTGCCTGATGCATTCTGAAATTTATAGTGAGATAAATTTTTTCCAGAGGGGGAAGTGTCGTGAGGCGACCTTCGGTACCTCATTCTATTCTATTTACTTATGTATATCTTATTCAACTATGTCTTAATTATCTACTTATAGTGCAGTAAATTGATTCAAGGACAAATCTCACCAGCTAAATCGTTTGTCACTTGAGAATCTGAAGCGGTCACTTGCCAAAGCCTTGAGTGTGAATTCTAGTCATAAAACATTATTGACATTCAAAACTATACATTCAATTTGGAATCGTTATTCATATATTCAATATTCTATTCTATCTATTTATATATCATATCTAGTTCAAT